TCAGGATTGGAGGAGGACTCATCAACAAACTATGTTACGCAGATGACACAGCCTTGCTTGCTAAAACCAAGGAGGACCTAAAGCATTTGCTGCAGAAGGTCAAGGACTGTGGTCTTTAATATGGATTGAAGTTCCACATCAAGAAGATTCTCACCACTGAGCTGATTGGCAGCACCCTGATAGATTCAGAAGAGATTGAGGTTAACAATTACAGCTTGCTCGGCTCCACAATCAACACTTTTGACACCAGCAATCAGGAAATCACTGGGAAAAATCTATGGTCAGGGACCTCTCAAGAGTACTGAAATGCAAAGATGTCAGTCTAGAGAATAAGGTGTTCCTAATGCAGGCCATAGTCTTTGCAATAGTATACTTGGTATGCATCAGAGAGCTGGACAATAACTAAGCATGACAGAAGAAGAATGAATGTCTTCAAATTGTGGTGCTGGAGAAGAGTCTTGAACTGTCAAGAAAGCAAATAGGTCTGTCTCTGAGAGGGTGAAACCAAGTTTCTCTTTGGAGGATTTTGAAGCTGTCTTACATACTTTGGGCATGTGGCCAGGAGGGACCAATTCATGGAGAAGGACATCATGGTCAGAAGGAGAAGTAGACCCTGGATGAGATGGATTGATACAGTAATTGGAGCAACGTGAGTTGGTGTTTTGGAATCAGTGAGATCTGCTCATGACAGGGCAGGCTTCAGAGCTGCTGCAAATTGGGTCTCTGTGGGTCACAGGCAACTCAATAGTACATACCAACAACATAAATTGGGCAATGGGCTTGTCAGGCTTGGGGTTTGGGGTTTGGCTTGGTTATTGTTCCCTTTCTTGTTCAAAAGAAAATAGAGACATCAACTAGTTTTTACTTTCTTAGAAAAATTTACAGTTATCTGTAGTCTGCATTTTTTTCACTTTTCAAAATTTTCACTTTTCACTTTTAAAAAATATATTTCTTTTGGAAAGTTTTCCTATTTGTCTCTTCACTGGAACATTCATCATAATGAACATTCAAAGGGCAAATTCCACTCAGGATCATGGGTGGATAAGATGGCTGCTCTTATAAGTCTTGCTGTCTTCTTTGGGAAGGAAACACATCTACTGAAATAATCCTACAGCAGAGAAAGTGGAAGTGTTCACCTAAAAATGGACATTAAGTAATATGTGTTCTTAGTGCTAGTCATAGTATACCAAAGACTAGATTCAGTTCTTAGCACACCATAGTACTTTTTTCTCCACAAAAAAATAGAATCTTAAATAGTGACCCTGTGTTACTGTGCAAAATAACCAGACAGTGTATTGCACAAGGCTAAACAATTAGTTGTTGGCAGATCTGGAATGAAAATCCAGCCCTGTCTGATTCCAAATCTAGGAATTTCCCACTAGACTGTAGGATGCCATTGGTTTCAGAAAAAAAAATGCATATTTTCATCTTCATCTAAGCTATATAAGAATCTAGTTTATATTCTAGATAATTTGTCTGAGATTAGATCTGTTCTGAAGGGAAACTTCTGATCTAAACTTAGTTCTGAGATACTTTAGAGGAAGATCAATTCCTTCCCTCAGTAATCTCGATCCATTGTTTTATTATTGTTGTTGTTGTTGTTAGGTGCTGTCTTATGACCCATAGCAACCTTATGATCAATAGGTCTGAACTCTGTCCTATCCTGTGCCATCCTCACACTTCCTGACACTTTCAATCTCATTGCAGCGGTCACCATGTCAATCCACCTAGTTGAGGGTCTTCCTGTCCTTTGCCAACCCTCTACCTTTCCAAGCATCATGTCCCTTCCCAAGGAATATCCCCTCCAAGCAACATGCCCAAAGTATGTGAGGCAAAGTCTCATCATCCTTGCCTCCAAAGTGTATTCTGGCTGCACTCTCTCCAAGACGTATTTGTTTGTCCTTTTGGCTGTGCATGGGATGTTCCATGTTCTTCTCCAACTCCACAGCTCAAAGGCATCAATTCTTCTTTTGCTATATTTATTCACTGTCCAGCTCTCAGATGCATAGCAAGTGATTGTAAAGACTATGACCTGAATCAGACAAACCTTACTCCCCAAACTGACATTCTTCTCAATAATTTGGGGAGGTCCCTCATTGCAAACTCTATTTTAATAGAGAACCTAATATTGTTTCAAACTCCTTCTATGTGACTTGCAGCATCTAAAATTCCACTGCAGGGTCAGCTAAGAGTCCATTCTGACTCAGTGACATGCAGCAACATCAACAATTCTGTCTTACAGTTATTTAACTTCATCATTTTTGGCCATATGTCAAATGAATCTATTATTATTCTAACAAGTTGAAAATACAAGAACTTCCTAAGTATTTCTTCTTTCTAGACATTCTAAGTTTTGGCTAACTTTATTGGCTTCAGGGTTTGGTTGTTGTTGTTGTTTTGTTAATTCAGATAAAAACTTAGCAAAAATCTCTAGCGAATCAAACCCATTATAACCAACAAATCTTCAAACTGGCCTATGGATTATATTTAATCCTGGAAGATTTTCATTACAGTTGCTTCCACTTTATTCTTCAGAGGAATTGCATCCATTTCTAGCCTTTTCTCTCTATTACTGTTTCTTAAACTGTGGTCTGTATTAGAATCACTTAGAGCCTGGGGGGAAAGTCACTGGCCAGTGTGGGCATTAGGTGCGGCACTGGAGAATGAATATTTAGCACCTGATTTGAAAGGATATTCCGCTTCCTACTATGTACATGAAACCAGGAGAACAAACTTTTCTTGCTGAGTATGTGTGACGAGGGCTTTTGTTCATGTAACAACCCCAGGGGTTGCTCTCTCAACCCTGAGTATTTTAGTTATACAACACTTGGTTTACTCAGCAATGGAAAGTAACCCATACATCTCTTGCACCAATTTATAAAGTGCCTATTTTTCCACAAAACATTTGAAAAGCAAACTTACTAAAATAAATTGACAAAAGCCATTTGATTACAAATAAGAATGGCTGAAAGGTAACCGTAACACCTTCCCTTGGCAGCAGCATTCCACTTTCAAACGATATATAGGAACTACCAGGAGGACAACTGGATTGCTAAGTCCTTTTGAGACTAACGAGCAGAAACTACTTCAAGTAAGCTTAAGTAACTCAAAGGAGGAAGATGGTGCCAAAAGCAGAAGAGGCCCCTGTCTCTTCCAAAACAAAGGTATTCATGTGTTTTTCCCTGCCAAAGCAAAGGAATTCAAGGCCAAGAAGGCAGTCCTGAAGGGCATCCATCCACAGTCCCCAAAAAAGAAGATCTGCACCGCACCCCTCTACTGGTGGCCTAAGACACTGAGACTCTGAAAACAGCCCAAATACCCCTGGAAGATCGCCCCCAGGAAAAACAGGCTTGACCAATATGCCATCATCAAGTTTCCTCTGACCACTAAGTCAGCCATGAGGAAGATAAATAACAACACACTTCTGTTCATTGTAGATGTCAAGGCCAAGAAGTACCAAATCAAACAAGCTGTAAAGAAGCTCTAAGACATTGATGTGGTCAAGATCAGCCCCTTGATTAGATTGGGATCATCTAAACAGAGTCCAGCAGGCTAGTTCTAAATATAAATTTTTCTCATCAAAACAAACAAAAAAAGAAACTCAAGGGACCTCATGATATTCAAAGGAAAGGTAAATCCCCTTTCTTGGCCTTAGACAGTCAAGAGGAGGATACTTAGGGATCCTCAACAACCGCAAGACTTAGAAGCATTTTCTCCCCAAAGTACTGCCATTAAAACGGCTCTGCACCAACTCCCAGTCTATGAGTTACTCAAATTAAAACAAAAGATTCCCAGGACAGGATCTGCTTGGCATAGCTAAATCATTTGTTAAGCTATGAACCAATCATCTGGGGCACAGATGAAGTCAAAGTTACACAGTAACAAAGAATATACTCCAGTGGGCAAGACAGCCTGTTCCAGGAAAGATGCTCTGTGAGAAACTACAATATTTAGGGGAGAATAGCAAGAGACTTTTCTCACCAGAAGGCACTGAGGCAGCAAGATAACAGGGGCTACATGTGGATATGAGTTTAATATATAACTGAGGCTGGTAGAAGAGTCTGTATGGGTGTTGTGCTGCTAAACTCAAAGATGGTGTTGATTTGATATCATTATATGACTCTGGGTGGAAGGAGGAGTGGCATCCACTTCCATAATAGCTTGCCTCCGGAAACCCTATGAACCTGGAGAGAGGATGAAAGGCACACAAGCATCGAGGACTCTCCTTCATAGGGTTGCTATGACAACAAACAACATATGACTCTGGGAGCTCTGGTGGCCTAGTGGCCAGAAGCTGCACTGCAATCCCAAAGGCACACAGTTCAAGGCCACCAGCCACTCTGCAGAAGGATGAGCAATCTCCTCCTGTGTGATTAACTGTCTCTGAAAACCCGCCAGAGGGTCATCTATCAGCCAGTTCCAACTCTAGAGTACACAACAACAACATATGACTATGAGGGACCACTGGTGGCATGGTACCTCAGAGAGTCGCACTGCTAATCCAAAGCCACACTTCACTGGAGGTTCAAGTCCACCAGAGGCACTGAGGGAGAATGCTAGGCAGGCTTCTCTCCTGTAATTCACAGCCCTGGAAACCAATGGAAGGTCAACTATGGTTGGAATAAACTTGATGGCAATGAAGGAGAAAACAGTATGACTGTGGCTACTAGATATCTTAGCAAAATTTCCGCATAGTTATTATGCCTAGAAGGCTATTGAAGATTTTCAAATCTTCTAAGTTTCTCCCTTTGATCCAGGACTACAGTCTTGTTGCTTTTTATTAGAGATGAGTTGTCCAGCACACTTGTTATATTTGTTGACTGAGTAGAAAGAGGTCTTCTCATCAAACTACTTGTTGAGGAACCTCTGGGTGTCTGCTGAAAAGCTGTGTTTAGACTTGTTTTTTTGTGGGTTTTTTTTTGTTTTGTTTTTTTTTTACTTGTACTGCCTTTTGATTAAGTATTTATTTAAAATAAGCTGTCCCAATGGAGAATTTGAGTTTATGCTGCAGGCTTCTTTTGAGCTGCTGGTTTCTTGGTGGCTGTAGGCTTCTTTCCCGCTGCACCCTTCTTGCCCACTGCAGGCTTCTTGGGCTTCTTCACATCAACAGCAGCTTTCTCTGCTCCTTTCTTCCCTACCACAGGCTTCTTGCTTGGAGGAGCCCTCTTCTTATCAGATTTGGCCTCCAGTGCTTTAGCCACCTTAGCCACCCGGAGTTTGTGATTTCTGGCCTGGCGCAGAATGGTATTTCGGCACATCGTCTTTGCATATGGATTAAGCTTCAACATGATTCTTAGATTTTTCAGTGGGTTCTTCTTCAAGACTCTGCGATGAATCTTCTTGTGTGGTGCTCGGAGGGCCCTCTGAATCTCTGGGCTTTTCAAGATTCTGCTGAGGTCTGTATTCATCATCTTGTGCATGGGAAGGTTGTAGTTGCTCTTGAGGGAAGCAGCTTTCCGCCAAGTGCCATACAGCTCATCTAACTTTCGAAAAGCACTTTCAGTCCAAATGCAGAATCTGCCCACATGCCCACCAGGAGCAAGTTTCAAAATGTTCAATTTGCTTACATTAAGCAGAGTAATTCCAGGGATATTTCTGAAGGCCTTGATGATACCATTATCCTCATTATAGACAATGCATGGTCCCCTGCGCTGGATGTGACGTCGATTTCTCTTTTTACCTTTGCCAGCTCTCATTCGCTGGGGGGCATAGACCTTTTTGATATCATTCCAGGCCTTAAGTTTCTTAAGAAGCAGGACAGCCTCCTTGATCTTCTTGTAGCCCTCAACTTTATCTTCGACCACCAAAGGAAGCTCAGGAACTTCCTCAATACGATGACCTTTTGACATGACCAGCACAGGCAAGGCCGAGGCAGCCAGGGCAGAGCAAATGGCATAGTGCTTCTGAGTTGTGTTCACTCCACGGTGCCAACGCCACCAGGTTTTGGTTGGTGCAAACATGCGGCCTCCACGACACATATTTCCAAAAGCACCTTGGCCAGAGTGATGAGTCCCACCACCTCTAACTCTGGGAATTCGAGCCACCGCTCTACCAGTACCCCAAGACTCAGCACTGGTCTGATGACCTGCCAATTCGCTGACGGCATAGGGCTGCCTGTTGTTTTTGCGCAAGTTGGTGTGAACGAAGTTCACGATATCCGGCTGAATGGGAGCCTTGAACACAGCTGGCAGAGTAACATTTTTGCCAGATGATTCTCCCTTTTCTGAGTACACCGATATCAGTGGACGAGCACACGCCATGGCGCCGACCGAGAGAAGACCACGCTCCTCTCAACCCGGTGGTTCTTACAGGAAAAGGAAGGCTAGACTTGTTTTTAAAACATTTGACTCTTCTGGAATCCCTTGCTAAAGCAGTCTGTATCTGGACAGGCAATGATAATTCCCTGGGGTTTCCATGGAAAATGATATCTGTGAATTTCAAGTGGCACCTAGTTAGCAACTGGCAGTTAACAAGCTATTTGGAAGGAGGGATGCTTCTCTCTTCTTTGAAAGTGGGACATTTCTTCCTTCTGGTTGTGAACAATTAGCCAGGAGGGACTTTACTCAGGAAACAGAAAGCTGTGTGACTGATGCAGCTAGGAAACGGTGAAGGGGCATTGGTGGGAGCTGGCACAGACTTGCGGTCTGAGGAGGACACACCGACTCAAGCTGATGTCTCTATCTGAGGCAGGTAAGCTAAGTGAAGCCTGATGGGGGAATGATTCACAGGGCGAGTGGGCACTGAAAGTCACAGGAATCACCTGGTGCCAGAGTTCCGCTGGGAACCCCTCTTTACTCAAAGACTAGCCCCAAAGATCCAAAGACAAAGTGCCATGCTGGCGCAGGTGCTCTTGAAATAAGTCAAAACCCTTTCCTCTTTCATCCAGATGCCCTTCTACCCCTGAGTTTCATTTTGGGCTGAACTAAAAGAATACTCCTCTGTACGGGGTGACCAGAAGCCTTTGGTCCACCAAGCTTGTTCCCTTGTGGTCAAGACTGGTTCAGACCAACCTTGGGTGTCTAGGACCATCAGCCCTTCAAAAGTCTGGATCCCTGTAGACTGCCAGCAGGCAGAGCCATGCCTGCAGGCTCTAGTTTGCCTTGCTTGGTGGGAGAAGAGTAGTGGCAGGTGTGGGCTAGGTACGTGCTCTAAGGTTTGGCCCTTAGACAAGTGGGGTGGGGGGCAGAGGGGAAGGAGAGAGTGTCACACTACATAGATGCTGGGAAAGAAGCATGAAGAGCCAGAAAGGAAGTGGGAAGACAGCGTTTAGGGTGACTCCAGGGCGGGAGCAGCTCTCCAAGTCAAGATCTGATAGAGAAGCTTAGGGCGTTGGATACTGAACTGGCCCAAAGGTACAGGATCAAGATCCTGTACAGGATCCTGGGATGCTGGACAGATAAAGGAGTCGTTTGGCACCAAATAGGGGCTCAGTGTTCAAAAGGAAAAAGCATGATCTAGGTAACAAATAGAGGCACATGAACACTGCTGGGTTTTAGAATTACTTTAAGTGCAGTTGTTTTTGTAAAGAAAGAGCCACGTAACAAGAGTCATTATTTGTCCTCGAAGACAGGGCTTCTCAAGTCTGGCTGCCCATTAAAGTCCCTCAGTAACTTCTTAAGGCAAACAAATAATTTTAACCCCACAAATGTGATGGAGACCTTGCAGTGAAGTGTGCTGTCCGTTGGACTATTAACCAGAAGGGTGGTAGAATGTATCCACCCTTCCTCATTAGGAGAAAGATGAGCCAGCCACTTGTTAAAACTTACAGCCTAGCCCTAAAGAAATCATAACTGCCACCCAAGCAGATATATGCTCACCCATGTTTATCGCGGCTTTGTTCACAATAGCAAGGAGTTGGAAACAACCTAAGTGTCCATTAACAAACAAATGGATAGAGAAGCTATGGTATACTCACACAGGGGAATACTATGCTGCATTGAAAAACAAGGAACTCATAAAATATACAAAATTGGTGACCCTGGAGGACATTAGGCTGAGTTAAATATCTCAGTCACAAAAGGACAAATAATACATAGTGCCACTGTTGTAAAACAGGACTGACCTCGGGGTTGGGGAGAATCTAAGAGGGGATAAATAACATAGACAGCTTTGAAACAGATGAGGGAGAGAACTGTTCAGGAGAAATATATGATTAGGTATTATTGTCCTGACAAGAGTCCAGAATGAAGGCTGCGTAGTGGAGTGAACT